TATAAGGCTAAATGATGAGATCGTGGTTGGAGGGAGAGGCTAAGAGGGATGGGGTGGGACAAAGAAACTCACAGCACGAACGCCACTGAGGTCGGCTCCTTGCCATGTCAGCAAGTGTGTCCAGCCAAACGTGTTCATCGTCTTTCGGACCCCAACCAGGGAGCCGAGACGCTCCAACCGAGGCCAGCTCAGAAGTGAGGGCCTTCATTCCTCTCGACCAAGTCATCGTTTGGCCACCCCTCCTCTTCTTCCATCCACACCCCCGGCGCGCAAACAACGCACGTCGCGGGAGTCGGTGGGCTGGCATGCGTAACACGTGGCCGAGCCATCGGAGCCTGGTGCGTGAAATAACGGTGCTGAGCGGTTCATTTTCTTTTCCTATGCCGTAAACAAGGTGTCGAACACGCTCGTTGCTCACGCGGTGTTCCCACCAGATGTGAGCTAAATTGCGAAGGCACCGGTGGTCGAACGTAACTAGCCTCTTCAGGTCCGTTGCTTTAAGGGGCCAGGTTTCACAACCGTACAGTAGGGTCGAACGTACCGCTGCATTGTACACTCTACCCTTCAGGGCAAGAGTGATGTCGCGCCGGCGCCATAAGTGGCGAAGGTTAGCAAAAGCGCCCCGAGCTTTTGCTATACGGTTCGTGATCTCATCTTCAATCCCACGGGCGCTGATACAACTTCCCAGGTAGTTGAATTTTTGAACGACTTCTAGCTGATCCCCACCAAGGGTCAGCGTAGGAGGCGGTCCAGACCAATCTTGGAGGAACGCTTTGCACTTCGAGGGTGCGAAGCAAAGCCCGAAGTGACGGACAGCTAGTGCTAATCTGTCTAGTGCCGCTTGGCACGTCTGGGAGCTGTCACAGATTAGGGCAATATCATCAGCATACTCTAAGTCAAGAAGTCGTTCTCCTGGGAGCAGATCCACACCTTCTAAGTCGTGTCCTGTAAACGCGATTTCCATGACTTCGTCAACAGCGAAGTTAAAGAGGAAAGGTGACAGCGGGCATCCTTGTCCCACACCGCTGGAGATATTAAAGAGCGATGACAACTTGCCGTAAGCCCTCACTCTGCCCGAGCTACGCGCATATAATGCTCGGATAATATTCACATATTTCTCAGGTACACCTTTCCTGAGTAGACAGTCCCAAAGTGCAAGTCTATCCACCGAATCGAAAGCACCTTTGATATCGAGGAACACGACAACGGTGGGCCGCCAATATATGTGACGGTGCTCCAACAACTGACACAAGGTGAAGATGTGGTCAATGCAGCCACGACCTCGACGAAACCCGGCTTGCTCTTCACGAATCTGGCTTTCACGCGTGCCAGTCAGTCTGTGAAGGATGACAGAGGCAAGCAATTTGGAGGCGATGGAGATCAGACTGATTCCTCTATGGCTGCCGCATTCCGATCGTGAGCCTCCCTTGAAAATTGGGACTATGACGGAGTGGCTCCAGTCGGTTGGGACAGTTTCCTGCTCCCACAGTTTAACTAGTAATTCGTGTAAATTATCCACAAGAGCAGGTCCCCCGAATTTGAAGAAGGCTGGAGTTAGATCATCTGGTCCCGCGGCTTTGTTCAACTTCAACAGTCCGATCTCACGTTCGAGTTCTGAGCGAGAGGGTGGATCCAAAGGGACAGCCCACGGAGCGGGGCGATCAGTGGCCGGCGAGAAATCTAACCATTCCGACCGATTAAATTGCCTTTCAAAGTGCTCAGCCCAACGCTCTAAGCGTTTTGACAAGTTGTGGATAGGCTGTCCACTCTCGTCACAAATTGTTTCACTAACACCAGGTCTCCTGCTGCCCGTTTCCCGTATCAGACGGAATAACTTACGATGGTTACCAAGGGTAGCGGCCATTTCCATCTCTGATGCACGATGAGACCACCAAGATTCGCGGTCTCTCTTCAGGCTAGCACGGAGTTTTGCCCGGAGCTCTTTGCGAGTTTCATTGTGTTCGCTTCCAGCCGGAATATGCCGGCGAGCACCTATAAGTTCCAGAGACTGTGAAGAGACCCAATGTCCATGTTGGCGATTAGACATACCACATGAGGATTTTCCTGCTGCAATTAAGGTCTGGTGAATATGAGACCAGTGACCTTCAATTGCATCCAGTGAGCGCTTATTCAACTCGCATGACAGCGTACTTTGATAGGCATTCAGAACAGCTGGCTTCGCCAGTTGGCTGGTGTCAATGCGCTCACAACGTCGTCGTGGGCATCCGCCAAAGCGCATCTGCAGGTCAGCACATACAAGTGCATGGTCGGTGTCCACACTTGTGCTCCAAATCGAGCGACAGTTCTGGACGCAGCCTCTCCAGCGGTAACTGATTGCAATGTGATCGATTTGCGTCCAAGGCTGGTTCGAGGCTGGTGGGCGCCAAGTCACCCTCCGGCGGGTGCTGTGTCGGAAATTAGTGCTCGCAAGAAATAAGCGAGCATCATCACACAAATGAAGTAACCGCTCACCGTTATCATTACAGGAGCCTACACCATGTTGGCCGCCCAGATGCAGCTCATCAGTGGATAATTTTCCAACTTGAGTGTTCAGATCCCCGGCCAGCACTACAGTGTCCGAGCTTCTTCTGTGGCGAAGGAGCTCGTTCAGTTGATGATAGAAGTCGTCTTTTACCGAGTCATCGCTACAGTTTGTCGGTGCATAGGCAGCGATAACGAATAGACATCTGTTAGTCCCACGCGACTTCGAAGTTTTGAACGAGCCAGCCAATCGGACCGCACACATCCGGCTACTGATTGGAATCCAAGCAACCAGAGCAGCTTCAGCCCGGGGACTCAGGGCAATACCAACACCGGCTTGGCCGGTTCTCGAAGCTGCATCGTCACCGGATATGCGTAATGAGAAAGTGCTGCTAGTGTCACCTGAAGGGGATCGCAGAGTGAGCACAGAGCTCGAGTCTTGCAGGCGGGTCTCCGATAAGCAGCAGATATCGATCGAGAGGGTCTCTAATGTTCGGGCAAGTGCTGCCTGTTCACTGATCTGAAGCAATGTGCGAACATTGAGGCATGCCAATCTGAAGGAGGATCGAGGGCTCCAAATGGAAGCCGATGAACTGGGCTTGACCGCTTGGTTGGACATGGGCCTGTTGACAGGGCAAGAATGACGCTCCGCGTTCACATGTGAGTTGAAACTAAAAGACAAGCGACTATTGAAGCAAGGTGGGGGAGGGCCGAGAATTGGGGGTTGAAAACAGGGGGGATAAAAGTGATGCTGGAACGGGACGATAAGGGTGAAAAAGCGCAAGAGGAGGAATAAGAAGACGGGAAGGCTTGAGCAGTAGCATCCAAACCCCTATCCACCCTGCTCGATGCAGCAGATAGGGCACCGTTGATTATCCTCTGCGGTGGCCAGAGCATCAGAAATTTGTTTGAAGTGGGATTCATTGCATTGCGTGGGCAGGATACTGTCAGGTTGCCCAGGCCTAGACAGGAGAACGATTAGGGTTCTCAACCAAAGCCTTTGGTTCAAAAACCTGTCCGCAAGGCAGCGGGTTTGGCACTGGGCTACAAGGAGTCCGTTTTAAGGAATAAGCAGCCACCCACATTCCAAACCCCAACCTGGAAGACCAGGAGGCTGAGTTTGTCTGGCTTCTAACCATTGACCAATCTGGTATGAGTGACTCTGAAGGTGCAAAAATGCACCACCCAGTATAGCTCAATGGATCACTGAGGCACACAAACCATCGCACCACGGTAAGATCCAGCCTCATTGCGATGGTAAGAATAGCTCTCAAGGTGCCCAGAGACATCACCCAGTATAGCTCAATGGGTCAATGAGGTACGCAAACCGTCGCACCACGTTAAGGTCCAGTCTCGTTGCAAATTCCATCGTTACGGTGTGAATCGATAGTCGTCAACATCTTAAAAAAGGGTCTGTGTACAGTGTGCGCCAACTACAAGAGTATAAGGTTGGTTCGCATCGTTTGCAAATTTCCGTTGTCCATCATAATTTTCAGGCTATTCCCTACTCGTGAGGCTCTATGGCGGAAACAGGCTAGGTTTCGCTCTGGTCGCGTATGCATCGATGAAAATCACACTCTGCTATATGTACCAGAAGCCAATGAGCATTGTGTCGCTGAATATCTATGCTGTCAACAGGACAGCATGTTGACATAGTCTTTTACGGAATGACCCCGGAAAATGCTGTTTAGTCTGACTTCGGGTAGAGTTACGGCCTATGACAATCTTTCATCTTCCTTTGTTGTTACCAGTGTGGTCCTGTCTCCCTATGACGGCCCGTAGCCTTGAGGATCATAAGCCTGCCTGGTAATCTGAGGGCGCGAGTTCGGGCCTGAGTATGGACCAGGCGAGCCTCAACGTATGCTTAGCCTACGTGCGACCGCCGGTGGTCACGCAGCAGCGAAGCATCAGTACTGCGCATCGGAGTACTGCTGATGTCTGTCTCTGCCTAAATCCTGCTATTGAGGAGATCCCCAAAAACGTTCCATGCTTCCCATTACATATCGGTGGTATCATTTAATTAAATGACCTTCCTTCTTACTTACCTTCCATTTTAATCATGTATCTTGCTTACTTCATGTGACCGGCACAAAGTGCAGGAAACGTGGGAAGCAATTGGTTGACAGCGGTGTTCCGGTTTAGATCCCATCACAACACTAGGCTCAACAAGCCGCTCAATAAGAAAGAGTCACCGGATTCTTCTACCACTCTAGTCCCACTTGAACTTGAACTTGACTACAGTAGTAAAAAGCAAAGGGCTGCACATGACTGTGATTTAGGACCTGCACGAAATGCATTCTACGCAAAGGCACAAATCCAAGATATGATGGAAGAATGGAGGAAGACCGCGAACGAAGGACCATGGTCTTTATCCATAACCTGCAAACGACCAATCACTTAAAAGCTTAAGGAACGATCGTGCTTCGGCAACTAAAAAACAAGACCTAGGGCTAAATTTAGCCGAGTTTAAATACGGAGAAATATACAACACGGAAAACAGAAATAGCTTCTTAACTAACTTTCGGGAAAGTGTGCTTGACCCTTTTGAGCGCACTGAAAGCAAGATCGCGAATAGATAGCGCCCCGGAACCACACGGAACCACCACCTTAGAATCTCCGAAACAAACAGTCAGTTTCATCCTCCATGTTCAGTGAGGTTCCAAGAACGATCGGAATACAACAGTAAATTGTAGTTTAGCAGCAACATCCAGCCAAGGAAGGCTGTGGACTTGCCATGGACGGTATTTCGACGCAGGTCTACATTGGTAGAAGCATACGGATCGGCATTTATCGTAGCTGGGACCGATCGCTTCACATAAGGATAATTGGTTAGGTTACTGGATACATCTGATGAAGTGTGACCTTGGAGTGACCTGGATACCTCGGTCGATTTTTCGCTCCATACAGGAGAAGACAGGACAGGATGCGGGAACGAAACAAGCTTCCGCTTAACGTGCGTCCCGTTTCGTGCGCCAGTAAGCGAAAAAGAGCCCCTAGCACGAAGCGTCGGATCCGCCAATTAGGATAAATAATCTTTTGGCTGTGTTGTTGTTGTACACGAGGTTGTATGTTGATAAAAGAAACTTTTGGGCTCTCCGACGCACGTGTGTGTTTAGTATTATCTTAACGCCGTTGTTAATATGCTAAGAGGAGGATTAGAAATAGATAAATTGAAGGGTTTAAATGGGTTACATTGGTTAATCATTTTCCCGCTTCTAGCGAAAGCAGCCATGGTGGATGACTGTTTTGCATTCCGACGTATCTCCAGGGGTCCATATGTGGAATTTTCATCGATGAATGAAGATCTAAAACTTTTTCAGATGGAAACGGCGACATCGTTCATTCGTCGGAGCGTTAAAACTGCGGAAGCTTACCAATGGGATACTGGACAGGTGCTACCGGAAAGATGCCAGTACCTATATAAGCAGTTTGTGTGCTTGCATAGTAAGGGATCAAAGGTTGCTGGAAAGCGGTAAGTGTTGCGTATTTGCCTGCCGAATATAGTTTAACAGGTACCGGTGTTACAATTGCCCTGCGCGGTGCTCAGCGGTTTTTAAGGGGGAATGTTACGAGATTGGAAACGCCTGTCTTTGGTATTCGCACAGTTTTCACGTGGGGAAGCCTTGGCTGTAAGGCAAAACTGGGCGGCTAACAGCGGATCAGCAAAGCACGGTGCTTAGCTTAATGAAGACGTTTCGTCGCGCGCAGGAGATGTGTGCCTTTGTGCGTCTTCAATCTAACACTCATTTAACAAAGCGCGATTTGTATGACATACGGCTGCGTCGTCGTAACGCCCGTGTATCGGAAGTGGAGGAGGTTACGCAGCTGTTGCGAAGAAATGGCCAGGAGGCTGACTAGATTGGGTAACGTCCCAGTTAACGCCCTAAACCCTAGACCGCGTTTACTTCGTGTAGTCCTATCCACCCCGGAGGAACGCAATGCGTTGTTGCGGTTTGCCTTCAGATTGAAAGGTACTGATGTTAATGTTCAGCCAGACCTCCCAGTAGGGGATGGGTTTAAGCTAAAAGAGGCCATTAAAGACTTCAATACCAGGCGAGCGGCCGGTGAACAACGTCTCCGGTTGGTGGATATTCGGGTGATCAGCCGGCGGTCTGTTTCCGCCCTACCAGTGCCAGTACTGGTAGCGCACGACTCCGGGCTGGACAGTACGAGTACCTTCAGGTAGTGCTAAGCAATGTGCGCAGCCTAAGGAATAAGAGGTGCGATATAGGTCTGCTTATAGACGGGTCTCATCCTCATGTACTTGCATTCACTGACACGTGGCTGTCTCGGGACATCACGGCCGGTAAAATACGTCTGTCTGGCTACGCACTATTTAAATGTGATCGCTTCGTTGGCCGACAATGCGGAGGCGTTGCGCTTTACGTTAGATGTGAAAGACGTTTCACACACCTACATGTTTCAGTCGGCAGATAAATCTGTCGGAGCACGGTCTGTAGTGGTTAACACTTCCTCAACTCAACTTACAGTTGTACTTGTGTATAGAAGCCCTGGGATTGCGTCCAAAGAGCTGCTTGACTTTATTCACCCTCAAACCGCAAACAGGTGTTTGATACTGGGGAATTTCAACCTACCAGATGTTTGCTGGGCAGACCTTTCTTGCAACTCGGCGGAAGGAACTTTCGGTGCCGATCTTATTAAGCTTACGCTACAAGTACCGTTGCATCAGTGCGTGGACCTCCCCACCAAGTACATGCATGCCCAACTACTGTCTATTTTTGACCAAGTTTTTGCCGTCATTAGACTTCGTAGGTGACATCACTTACAATTCTCCCTTAGGCGTCAGTGATCATGTTTGTTTATCGTTCAGGTGTACTCTGACCAGGCGTCACCAGAGCATGGCTAGACATTTCCAAACATATGGCGTGCTAACTATCAGGCAATGCGTATCAAGGCTCCTGGGTTGCGGTGCGAAATCTCGGTGGTTGATACGGTTTAGGCGGCCTGGGATAAAGTTAAGTCTGATCTCGCGGAGGGGTCTATTTCCTATATCCCGCTTGCGAGGCGAAGTAGACACGAGCGCGACCGCCGTGGATAGATACAACTGGAAAGTACCTGTTCCAGAAGCGTCCTAGGTGCTGGGGGACCTACCGTGCGGCTCCAGCAACTAGCACCTATGATACATACCGGGAGGCTAGAAATAGGTGTAAACAACACTTAAGGAAAGCACGGCTGTTGTACGAAAAGGAATTGTCTGCTGGAGCTTCGGAAAATCCGAAGAAGTTCTTCGCTTATATTAAGAGACGCTGTAGTTGAAATCCGGTAATATCAAGTTTGAAGCGGACCGATGGAACTAGTGCGTTTGCGGATTCAGATAACGCTCGTGTTCTTGTGGAGCAGTATGCAGAGTCTTTCTGCATTCGGCTCGTTCACTGGCCTTTACGCAAGTAAATTTTGTTGGCTCCTTTCTGAGCAGCAGCCGTATCTCATTTGGTTAGCCCACAGCTGTCCTTTAGCTTCTCATTGCTAGGTGTTCAGCTAAGCCTTATGTTCTGCAACGTCTGCGACACCTGCTCATGTAGGAGTCCAGAACTCATACTAGCTTTTTCCAACTAAGCTGCTTGTTTCACTGTTCTCTTAGCAAACACGCATGGTCCTTATGTGTCTAGATCCCCTGAACAATTTTACTCCACGCCTGTTCCAAACTTCCACCGCCATTCCACCAATTAAGCATTAACTCCCTTGTCGCCAACTGTTTATACACTGAATTATTTCGAGTACGTATATTTTCGGGAATATGCAGATCTGCAGCATAGCTATCCACTCTGGACAAAAGCTGTGCTAGTGAACGCAGCTGTATACTTTTGGTGTACAGCCATGGTGCAGGTAGATTCTTGTCTGATAGTTCGTCCCGGCACGAAGGAAAACCTTGTTCCTCAGTCCAATCCCGCAACGCCAAGCGTTTTTTGACTTGGGAAAAGGGAAAGAGTGGGCCAACTGAGAGAAGACCGCAACGAACAGGGTGGAACCAAGCATTGCCAGAGTGTATGTTATACCATTTAGAGTTGCGACAACGTGATGCACAATCTGCAACTATGCTTATGCTGAATGGGCCTTTTTGAAATTGCCAAAATACTATGGTCCTATAGGTAACTTGTTATCTTCTACATTGTGCATATGTGCGTTGTACTAGTAAGCAATCCACGTGGTAGCCGTTTACTATCATGTAAATATGGTTTAGGGAGAGAACACCCATTTCAAAGGCTCGCGGCGGTTTAATAATGATAGAACAGCGGGTAGCCAGCCTAATTCGATAGGGTGCGCAGAATAAGTAAGTATAAATATAAATAGGTTTATACGAGTTAGAAACCAATGATAATTGGTGGTAAAGCAGCGGAAAGCTAGGACTCAGGCGCGGAGCAAAAATGTTTAAGGCATTTCGACCCGTAACGAAGATAGTTGGGAGCTAAGTGAGTAGTAAAATGGTTGACTGAGCTGGAAAAGCTAGTGAGACAGCTGGACTCCTACATGATCATTTGTTAAATACAATGCTGCGAGAAAGGAAGCTAAACACCTGGAAGGGGGTGATTAAGAGGTAGCAGTTTGCTGAATAATTAAGGTACGATTGCTGGCTAAAAGATAGATAAGAAAGGTTCATTGCCTAAAGGATGGCGAACGGGCGGAAGGAGTTCCCTATCGAATTAGGCTGGCTACCTTCTGTTCTATAATTGTTCAATCGCCGTAAGGCTTTGAACTATCATTGCCCTTTCGCCACACAATATTTACATCATAACAAACTGATACCTGTTGGCTTACTTACTGGTACAGCGCCCTTGTTCACTACGTAGACGACAGCAATCTACCTATCCGGCCATTGCTTTTTGTAGCAGTCTAAGCAACATTTTTAGCATAATCATGGTTGCAGCTTGTACATCCTATTGCCCCAACTTCAAATGTTATACCACACGAATGCATCACTGCTTGATTCCATGTCTGTTCTTTGCGAGCTTCCCTCGGTTGGCCCTGTCTTTCCCTTCGTCCCAGGTCTGGAATCCTTGGCATTCCGGGAATGGACTGCGGAACAGCATTTCCGCTCGATCCGAGACGTAATGTCCGACAAGAACCTAGCTCTACAACGGGCTTACACCAAAAATATTCCACTGCACATACTACCAGGACCGGTATCTAGTATATAGAGCTAAGCGGAAGGTCCGTACACTCCCAAAATATATGCATAATCGGAAAGATTTCGACACCAACAACTTTGCAATTTTTATTTACCCGGACATTTACCGATACGAGTCTTCGTAATTCTCTAACCTTCGACCGATCTCATCGATTATGGCGGCCTGGACCAAACTAACAAAGGAAAAGGGAAGTCCTTCGAGTGCGAATAACCGAGTGGGAAACAAGTCGACTAGCTGCTTTGCTAGTTGAACGCCCTTGTGCGAAAGGATGTACTGCAGTGTTCTAAGCTGATGTGGGCTCTCGCCTGGGAAGCGTACCGCTTATAAAATGCCACAAACATCCGTTTAATAACCAAGTGACGCGAAGGATGTTATTCGCCACCGAATAAATTTACTGTCAATAACTGCACACGGGCCAGTGGACTGGAGTCATATTTTAAAATATCCTTGACACATTCAAAAGAAAGATACCCTCCGGCTAGGTCTACCTTATTCGCCACAGTTACAAAGCGTTTAGTTTTCGCACTACGTACACATGAACCCTATTTATCGCCATACACTGATGACTAAATTCCTCATGATTGCTTCAGTTTCTGAAGCCAGTACAAGTCGCGGCACTGCCAATTGCATACCTAGCACAGTGTCAGTTACGGAACATAACTGCTTGTACATTTTGATTCCGCCTGATTTGGTATGCCTTGATAA